ACTATCACTCACCCACACCAGATGGAAAACTCTACAGACTGTCGGTTCACACCCCATCAGAAGCCAGCAAAACATATATATGTATTATATACCATATGATTACGTCACTTGTGCGATCCAATGATGTATCGCCATAAGGCATTCACCCTCACACCTTTACGATAGGGAAGCTTTCTTACCGTTTCCCCTGCCTTTGCGCCCTTCATGCCCAGAAGTTGAGCAGCCGATGATGTTCCCAGGTTGGTTTTGACAGGTGCCGGATTTGGCGCTTGGGCTTTTGCTGTCCATTGATCGTTGGCGATCGCCAATCGACAACGATTCCATTGGAAAAAGAAGAAAAGAAAAACAAGCCAGAAACAATCAAGCAAGCAAAGACGCACAGAGGAGCCACAAAACAACAACGGCGAATACCATTAGGCAAAAAAGGAAAAAGAAAAGTTCGCGTGAATAAGAAAGAAAAGTTGGGCACAGGCAAGCACATAAACTAGCACATCAACACGAGTAAGTTAAGAGTATATACTCAACCTAGGACTTCCGTGGATGTATGTGACCGGATTTGTGGCTTGTCCTGCATGCATCTGACCTCAATTTATGTCCAGAGATGAGTCAAAAAAGTCCTACTGTGAGTATGTCCTTATAGTAATAACCACTATCCTCATGATTCTAAATAGTACAAGTGGACCCGCCGCTGGCGGCAAAGGAGGAGCGTGTGGCAGGGAGAAGGAGGGGGGCAAAGTGTCCTTCATAGACAGGTTGTACTCAGAGATGGAAGACAGGACAACCAAGCCACGAACGAAAGCCAACTTAAGCAAAGAAGGAAAGCCAAGTTCATTCATGCACAATGAGGAACAGAGTCACTGTGGTGAAAGTGTCATTTGCAGCAGCGAGGCAGAGAAGGAAAGCCAATTAACGACCCTCACAGGTACCCTCACAGCGATGCAGCCAATTTCTAACACACTTGCAGAGAAAAAAAAAAAAAAAAGAACAGCATGGCAGAATGAAAGAAGTTCAAAGAACTAAAGGGCGACAACTCTATGGAGAGCAACGGATTGCCGAGATGGGAGATGGGAGATGGGAGATGGGAGATGGGAGATGGGAGATGGGAGATGGGAGATGGGAGATGGGAGATGGGAGATAGGAGATGGGAGATGGGAGATGGGAGATGGGAGATGGGAGATGGGAGATAGGAGATGGGAGATGGGAGATTTTTCCATGCAGCAGTAAAAGACAACTCTTTTTTTTTAATAGATGATGAATCAGATGACGAATGCTAAGAAGTGATGGTGACCCACCAGGGAGAGAATCTCTGTTTTTGGCTTTTTTTCTTCTTTTCTTTGTTTTCTGCGGTCTTCCATTTGTTTAGCACTGGCTCGCAATGACTTCGCACCGAAAAAAAAGCAAGAAGAGAGATTTTCTGTGCAGTGATAAAAAGACAACTCTCTTCGATAGATCTGTTCTTCGCTTTTTTTTTTCCCCTCTTTTTTTCGTAGTGTCCTATTATGTCAGAAGCACAGTGGATAGAATTGCTGCACTGTCGCAAAGGGGGAGGTGGTAGATGGATCGGGGAAGACAGGTCGTGAGAGCTGAGAAGAGGAATGAAGGGAGAGCGAGACGGAGGAGGACGTGGATGGAGGGAGACATCTGCGGACCGAGGAGAGGTGGCCAGGTGAATGAGCAACAGGTTGATGCACGGATATGTATAGATATATTGTCACATAACTATGAACTAAAACAGCGCACTTTGCAAGACAAACTGTAAAGATTATAAAATAAAAAAGATGAGGGGCACACTGAAACTATTCATTTTTCTCATTCTTCCTTTCTAACTCCGCCTTCACCGTGCCTCTCGCGTACAAGGCTCGCCACGTTGATGAAATTGAGCGCGAGATGCCCGCATCCCCGTGTGCCATAACGGCCCGCTTGTACGCTGTGAGAAAGAGGCAGAGTAAGGGGGGAGGTCATAAACACAAGCGAGAGAGATGAAGAGAAGAGAAACAAAGAACGAAAAAGGGGAAAGTAAGGATAAAAAAAACAGGCTCAAGAACGAGTCTGTCCTTGACGACAGAGAGGACACACATTGTAAGGATGAGGTGGATCGGCACATGGAAGACCAACATGGCTGACCATTTTCAGCACAACAATTGCCACGACGGCTGGCATTGAGCATGCCCACCGTGCACTCCCGACAAATGGCATGTCGATTGCAGGCCAAAATGAAGGAAGAACGCTCACCACAAAAGACCGTGCATTCAGTATAGCGCACAGGGACAGTCCTCTACACACATAGACGCAGAAACGATGTCATTGTGGTGATTGTGACAGAGATGACAGCGACGAGTGTAACAGTGTCTGTAGCAGTGCAAAGGCGAAGGTCGCAGAGTGTTGGTACATTACATTGTGGTGCTGCAGCAAGGGGCCAGCGGAATGATCTTCTTGGACATAAAAGAGATTGCGGACAGTTTGGTGTGGCACGAAGACAGCATCATTATGTAAGAAATCAGTGACATAAGTCATGGCATGGACCATGATATGCCGCTGTCCCACAACTCCCAGTGGTCAGACGTACGTACAATGGCCATGTAATGGCCAGGTTCCCGCACAATGCAGGCAGAAATGTGTTTACACAGACAGAGAGAGAGAGAGAGAGAGAGAGAGAGAGAGAGAGAGAGAGAGA